TTTTAAAATCATATAGGATACATAATACGATCTATTAGACAAATTTCCTTATATGTTATGTGAAGTATACTTTAGATTTTCATTATTATTGCATGTATTCTTTTCCATTTGTATTGATGTATATATTTATACTTCAAATGTGTTTATATATATTGATATAAAAATAACATGTTTGATTTGAATATAGGAATGAATATTTAATTTTTATTGCATAATTTATTCATAAAACACATGCACTTTGAAGTTATTTTCACTGTATTTATTGATGTAACAATTGCAATTTATTGCAATTTATCATTTTTTTTCTTTGTCTTAATTCTGAAGACTACACATGGGCGGTACTTGCAGTTCTTTAACAATTTGGGCAATTTTGAGGTTTAACCTGGCAATTAATTCTTAATCTCATTATTGAGGATTCATATTTTGATACATTTCAAACTCTAAAGCCAGCATATAGCTTCAGATTTTTATTTTTCAGACTTAGCAAAACAATGTTTGAACAGATTGTCTGATGATAGTATATGTTTTTATTTGATCATATCTGATAATCATTCTGTTAGATGATCTTTTATATTTTTTATTTTATACTGATATATCACTTTCAAATTTAGACTGCTTGTAATTGTGATAAAAATACTTGCTTTGACAAGATTTGAACTGAGAAATTCAGTATTAGAAGATGGCCATTCTAACCACAGCTCCAAAACAATAACTAATTGTGTGTCTTTCCATCTCTGGAAGTCTCAACATGTTCTGATCAAACATCTATTGAGTCTTAAGCTCTTTACTCATGTTAGTTTTATGCGACAACTTTATGTGAATTGCCTATATATGGACATGATGATATCATCACATCCATATATGGGCATAGTTGATATCCATATATGGGCAAGCCACAGGTATTTGTCACACAAAATTTGATACAGCTTCTGAAATAAAATTTTGATAGTACATGTCTGGCTTTAGTTTAATCCTGAACCCACTATGTATAGTCACATTCTTATATTTTCATTTGCATTAATACGTTATTTGCTATTTTCTTCATTATTTTTGTTTGATTTTCCGTATTTTAATAGACCCCTCATTCTTTCCCTTGTGATGAAGAAGATTTGACTGTGGTAGGTATCTTAGTGGGAAAGAGTGAATATTATTTAGATTATATGTTTTTTATAATCCATGTTTTTAAAGTTTGGTAACATATTACCAAGGGTTTGTTTAATGTAATGATAAATATACTATTGTAGGTCCAATTGTCAAGTGAATCACTTGCGAGAGTATTTGTATTTGGGGATGTATTGAGTATACGCTACGATAGTACATCAGGTTGTGTAAACCATCATTCCTATTGAGTTTCCTTTGGCAAATATGTTATTTTTTGTTCATTTAATTTTCCATAATTAAACTTATTTTTCATAGATTCTTTTTTATATTTTCTTACCTTTATTATGAATTCAGGCAGTAGATAGTGATAGCAGTAGGATGTATATTGGGCCATTTTTTTTTTCTATTTAAAAAACTGCTTTACTTATAAACATTCTGCCAATTATTAACATGTTCTTGTTAATATCAGTATGTATAGATATTATATATATATGTATATATTATATATTATAGATATTATTATTATCAATTTCACTATCATTATATTCACTATTATTTTTGTTATTGTTATCAATTAACATATTATTTCAGCACCAGACCATTAATTATCATATTAAACACCTGCTATCACTAACAATGCTTGCACACAATCATGTTTAACCACCTGGACAGGTTCATTAATTATGTGATGATGGAATCTCTTAAAACATACTGTAACTTACTAAAAAATATTAATTGCAATTTGCTATTTACTAACATTTTTTTTATATTTATATATTATCTTTTAAAAATTTCTTAGGTTGGGGACGAAACTAATGACATTCTCTCCCCGAGTGAAGAGTTTAAGGTCAGTCTATAAAAATGTTCAGCTTAATATGGGCCATATATCCTTTAATACCTATAATAAAATTTTATCAAATAATAAAATTGATGGTAAAAAATATCATTAAATTATAATAGATTATGATTGTTATTGTTTGATGTGTCCATCAACTGGCAAGTACAATGTTGTCTGATAATCTATTCCTTTTGTACAACATTATCTGTATAATATTTTTGAAATTTTTCCTGCCAAAATTTCCATAGTTTGTTCCAGGGTTCATGCCATTTTTGGCAAGTCAGAACCAGGATAAATCCGGCTCATCGCATGGCAACCTAACAGATCATCCCGCAAGGAAGCTAGTCATCAATTTTTTGCGTGTCATCATTGTTGATAGTCTGTCATTGAGCATGCCCAGTAAGACCCCACCTGTTTTGGATCTTGTTTTGGAGGTAAGTAGACAGATTTTACATGCCAACTTTCCTGTTCTCAGAACTTAATTAAAATAATTATGGAATTGTCAGCACACTTTATGTGGTAGCGGATATGCCCACATATTCGAACCTCATTTTTCATTATTTTCTGTAATTTTTATAGGCTACACCAGAACGTGCTTCAACAGCTCAAATTCATGAGTTCCAGACTGAGATGCTCACCACATTAATGGAGCATTTCCTAATGGCGGATGTTCTGATTGGTGAAGAGGCTGCATTGCCATTGGTTACCGGTGGATCATACAACAATCTGATCCATAATGTTTTTTACTTTGCCTCCCGGGTTGTTGACAAACTCTGGCAAGGTACATTTTCTATAGAGTACTACAATGTTACGTCATGATACCATGTGATACTACTCCTTTGCTGTCGGCGATACAAAATGCGTTCAATCGGACGCCATTTTCTCCACTGACAAACCATTGATCCCAAATTCTAACGTAATTATTAAGATATTGTATCTTAGTTTTTCTTTGTAAATTTTAATTGGTGATTAAATGTGTGTGTTTGATAACTAATATAATGCGAGCTTTCATGTTTTTAGTTATTAGGTTTGAAAATGCCCTATTCCAGAAAGCCTATTCTAAACCATTAAGATTATGAAGTCATTCGGGCGTAATGAACGGTAACCAGTGTCTGGTTGACAGCAAAGGGCGCCACCTGGTGTTGTGATGACACGACTGTTGTACTCTATATTATGTTCAATAATAGTTTTAGTGTTATTGCTGGTATTGTTGTTTTGGTGTTGCTGCTGTTGTTGGTTTTGTTGATATATGTATTTTGTATTAGAAAATTAAAAACTTTTTTTTTATGACAGGTTTTTTTTCTGTCAGTTTTATGTTGTACTATTGGTTGATGTTGGAAACTTTCTTTGCAGGTGTGTTTACAAAAGATTCTAAGGAAGTGTTTGATTTCATAGCACAGTTAATAGCTCAAGCTAAGAAGAGAGGTAAGATATTATTGTAACTTGGAGATTAATTAAAGAACTTGAATATTAATTTTAACACTTTGGTGTTGTAAATTTGCTTCCATTGACGGAATTACCTATTAACTTCAGTATGTATCATTATAGCAGTGTTTATCCTTTAATTGTGGTAAATTTTCATCATTACAATACTTGCTCTCATTTTGATACTTATCCTTCCATTGTGGAACTCTCCCCTCAGGTTTGGATAATTGGTTGGGCCACCAGCAAGGAGCAAAGCAATAAACATTTGTTGTTTTTTTTTTCTAATAGAAGGGGTGGGTTGCCTTGATCTCAGCAGAGATTAGGGCTTATTGTTTCCTTATGGCCAAGAAGAAAGTTTTCTTTTGCTTTCTAAGAGTTAGGAAGAGGGTTTTCTTTTGCTTGCTTTAGGCTTATATACAAGTATAGAGGTAGAATAAGCCCTAGTTTATACCAATTAAACAATTTACAAATAGCTAAACTATCTTTTTTTCATTATTGGGACTCACAAGTAACAGTATTATTGTTTAATAGTCATAGTAATAGATGTTGATGTTTTTCAGGTGTATGTCCAAGTCAATTTAAATTTTGTTTTATTACTGTACCTGTGATTTTATTTTGCCATTCACATTTAATTAACTGAATATACTCTTGCACCCAATCCTAGAATCCTTTCCTAAATTCTGGGCAATTTTAAGCGCCGAATTTGGTGGCAAGAAAGACAGCTCATGTAAGTGTACTGCACGGCCGTTCTTTACCCCCATGGTTTTACCCCCATGATTTACCCCCATTATTTATTTATTTGTTGGTTGTGTGGCTTAACTTTGGTTTGATTATAACAACACAGCACTAACATTACATTGTGTTCAGAAATTACTTTTAAAATATAATTCACATTTGGTTGGTGAATCATTTAAATCATATATTTTAATTTCCTTTTTTTTCTGGTAAAATACAGTGTTTAGATTGTAAAAGGGGGTTATATAAATAACATTTTAAGGTGGGTAGGGTGACATGAGAGCCTGGCATGGTTTGGATGAGGGTAAGGGTAGGTGCAAGGTATTGATTAGCTAGCATGAAGCATTCAGATTTCGTACAAAAGCATAAGTTAACAAGGGGTTGGATGAGCTGACACGGTTGTGTCAGAATGGATAGAGAGGCATGAGCTAACATAACAGGGTCAGATTAGGTAGAGGCATGCTCTAACATTGAGAGCTCAGATGCAGTATGGAGCATGATCAAACGTGACATGGCTAGGGGCATTAGCAAAATGGAGGGGTCTTGCCAGAGATGTGGGTGGACATTACAGAAATTTTGTATGAGAATGTTACTGTGAACATAGCACAAGGTACAGCATAACAGTAACATGTTTATAATCTGTTAGCCAATGTAATCATGGTTTATTTGCCTATATATGGGCATAATGATGTAATATCATACCATATATGGCCAAATCACTGTATTTGATCACTTGGAAATATTAGTATGAACAGAGCATTGTGGTTGTGATGGCAGAGCTAATGCTATTGTTATCAACATTGACACTTTACCAGAAATATGGGACAGCCATCAAGGTGAATTTTATTTTGGTAACATTTTACATCCACATGTGTTCCCATATTTAAAATGCGTCTTGTGTTTTACCAATTACATTTTAGTTATTTCATCCCTTCATTCACTTCAAATCTCTCATAAATCCCTCATTTAACTTCTCTCCCTCATCCCACCGATACACATTTTCATGTTAAAAACAATGTAACTAATTGTTGCTGGTGTTTAACAATCCTTTGCTATTTTTGTTACCTATTTGCTTTATGATTCAGAATATTATGCTTGTATTCATTGAGCTTATTTTACAGTCAAAGTGCAGTATACACTTTGGCATTGTTTAGAATATTATTATAGTCAGTGGTGTAACAGCTATGAAGGTCATTCCACCTCAAATCAACCAACGGCAAATGCACTTTTGTCTCAGATTCACTTCAAATTTTTATCAAATATTCCCCAATCATTCATATAAACAAATCTGAAGTTTGAGCTTTGTAGGTCCAAGTCGTTCCGAGATATGGCATTTTAGTGAAGTTAGTTAGCGCAAAATTTAGGCAAAAAAATGCTGTTTTCAATTTTGTACCATTTTCAGGATTCAATATCTTGGTTGATTAGAGGTGGAATGACCCATGAACTCTTACTGGCTACAGCCGGGGCCCCAGACGTTAAAGGGCCCTGGGATATTTATCAGCATTTTTGCCCAGAGCTAGGCCTTAAGGAGCACAACATGTGAAAGAATTCATAATACTTCCTTAAAATGTCATATACAGTGATGTGGACGGGGATTTTCTCCAGGGTAGTAGGGCACTAAGAGGCCTTAGCCGGGCCTCAGACCTCTTTGTTACGCCACTGAGTATAGTGCCAAGTTTGCTATATATTTTTATATATAGTTTATAGCATACTGTATAATACAATGATTTAATCTAGACAAAATCAATTAGATCTCCCAAGCCTTTGATAGTGCCACTACTGAATTGAGATGAGATGATCATGAAGCCTAGACTCTCTAACATATGCTTCTTCCAGAATCTCCATATGCTTCCTCTGCATTCTGTAGAACGACAGTCACAAATACATCAAATTTTTATGTGTGGTCCCTTTACCATGCTTAGAAACTAATTAGCAATATAGTATGCTTTATCTTGGTTTTCTATTAAGGTACATGGAATAAATAATAAATTTAATTGCATATCTCATTTTATATATACTTTTGAGAAAATATTTTCCTCAAAAGCATCTTGATTCTTAAAAAGAGTGAATGTTTTGCATAAAATGTTAGTTTTGTTGATTTACATTATTTTTGTCTTGTTTAGCACGTGGTCTTTCACTGGATAACATCTACCATTGCTTGAACCGTACAATAATGTTTCAGTTATCAAGACCACACAGTAATGTTGCAGGTAAATAATTTAAATGTATTTGTGGTAATAGTTGCTATTATGTTATCTCAGCTAAAGACAGTGAACTTTAAAATTATATTTTGGTAAGTATCACACTCATTACTACCAACAAATTTGCTGATTTATGTCATTCCCCAAGTGATGGATTTTTTTTTCATTTATTTCAACTGGTGGTGTGATATAGCTTGGTAAGTTATAAAGGTGCAAGAGTCCCAAATTGAAAGAAGCCTCTTTCAGAAGATCGGGTTAAATGATCATTCTTAACACATTTATTTTTATTTCTTTACTTGGTGATACCTATCTCTAGCTGACTTCAAGGAAATAATTAATAATACATTAGTACAAATATCATCATGAATTAGTAAGAGTTTTAAGTATTATGAGAGACATCCCAATTTTCCCAGAGACTTGCTTTGGCCTTCCAACAAATTTTAACTCCCACCACTTACCACTTTGTGCTTGCAGGTCATTTCATTATCTTATCATCAGCTTCATCTAGTTCTGTTCTTAATCCATGATGTAAATCAATTTTCCATGATCAACCAAAATTTGTCAAGCAGGCATACATTTTCCATCTTATATTTATTTCCATCTCTTCATCATCATTTAAAAGCTGCCTGAAAATTATGTTATTATAGCTTCATGTATACATCTAACATCCTATAATTAGGAACATTGGACTACAAATTGTTTCGCCATTTAACTCAAGGGGATTTTACCTTTTATAAGACTCCTACGCTTTGAGTTGGGTATCCACATTATCATTAAATACCACCGACCCTCTGGAGTGGTTGGCACAGTGTTGTGGTTAAGACTTCAAATCATGAAGTCAAAACTCCCTTGTGTGCTTGGGTAGGGCGGTAGGGCAATACCCACATTTCATTTCATTTATTTATTCAGACAAGTGTCTTGGGGCCCCAAAAGCAACAAAATCTCCATGACAAAAGTCTGGAGCCCCAGAGGTCTTCCCAGCTGCATCATTGGGTACCAGCAAATTGCTGAGAGTAACCTGTGGTGGCGCTGTAGCATCCCATATAAGGAAGCATTTCACTTTCTCACCTGCAAATACAGGTCTCCCTCTAATTAAAGACCACCTCTAATTAAAGACCACTTTTCTATGGTCCAAAATCAACAAATGTCTTTTATCTTTATTATTCTAATTAGAGACCAAAGCTACTAAAAACCATGGAAACCCCAACCCAGAATTGATCTTTAATTAGGAGGAGACCTCAGTTAGGAAAGTTAATTGTAAGGCAGACTCTTGGTACTATGACAGACCATCACTTCCAAGACCAATGTGGGACCTCGGGCCAAAATCCTCACCACTCGTTAACGTACTGCAGTGTACTTACCACTAATCTTAGTTTGTAGTAAAAAAATACTTCAACATTTCTTTATTAACCAAACAGGGAATAAAGAAGATTCTGGATGTTTTCAAATGCAAATAGAAAGCAAAGGCAAGTTATGGCTCCCTCGCATGTCAGCCAACGTATAACCTACCCATAATGCTTTGCATATCTATCTGCATGTCCTTGTTTGTGAAAAAAGTGAAATTTAACTAAGATATAATGGATTGCATGTATTCCTAATCAGTTTCATTATTTCCCTGAAAAAAAATTAATGAGGTAAATGAATCTAAATATTTTTTCAACGGGCATTATTCAGTATTAAGATAATCAATTTGAAGCTTTGTTGACAAGTAAATTGTTAACTAATAATATTATATTTTTGTATTGCTGTTATTGTTATTAATGTTATTGTTGTTTATTTCTTATTGTCTTTATTGTTGCCATTATTGTCAGTAAGGTTTGTTATTGTTCCCATTGTTATTATTATTATTATTAAAATAAAACATTCAATCTAGTTAAATTTTAAGTATATTGACATATTTCTTTATTATTTAATTTTTGTTAATTCTAAATAAATGTAATAATTTTTAAAATTTTTTATTAATTCTTAATTGTCGGTATATTAGATTTTAAATTTTAACATAACCCATATAGATAGGCCTACATTATGATGTTATTATATTCTTAAATTTTTTATCTTAGTGTAATTTTTTAATGTAGATTATTGATTAATGAAAAATATTATTTTATTTTAATACTTGTAGATATTTTGTTAAATTATATTTGTAGAATTAATAATCAGTCCATAAATTTACATGTTACCCGTATCAATATGCATGCTGAATATTGCATTTATTAATGGCAATTTTTTCAAGGTATATATTGGCAAAAACTTTGCATATTACAATTATTTCATTAATGATGTATATTTTGTGAAGTTTCCATAACTCATACATCCATTTGTTGATTTATCTAATTTGTATCTTTCTTTTATGAGTTGTTTATTTTGTGTTTAGACATATCCTCGGTGTTCAGCAAATCAGTTCATTTGAATTACCTACCTTGTTAGTGAATTTTTGATAAGTCTATTTCGTGAATACTTACCAACACGAGCATCGCGATTGGTTTGTGTGTTTTCCCAGGTTTTATCACAGACAGCCTATCTTTAAATATTCCATTGTATGTGTATTGTATTGAGGAAGCTTGTGGTATCTTGCCATATAGTTGTAAGTGTGTGTGTGTGCTAAACTTTCTGTATAAGTTTAATTAAATAATTTCACTTAAGAAACACTAAAATACCAACTAGAAATTGCAAATTGCAAGTGAAGTGCTGCGAAGTACAACTGCATATAAATGTTCTTTGAACAAAATTACTGTATTTATGCGAGTCAAGTGAAAATAATGAATAATAAAAATATAACAAATAATATGACACACCACCCATTGTCTATTATTAGAACACTTCTCATTGGGTAAATTTTCGTAATTTTTCATTTTTGTCAAAAAGTGTCTATAGTGGTGAATTATGGTTTAGGTTTTTTTTAATAAAGTTTCAAAAAACTCTATGTATGTGGAAAATGTAGTTGATTACCAAAGGTTACAATTTTTATTTTGAAGACCTCATGGTCTAGGAAGTGTACATTTTTTTATGGGGCAAGTTTCCAAGGGCAGGTTTTCTAGGGGCGAGTTGACTGCCAAAGAGTGTTGCCATCCTAGCTAGTCTAGGCGTAGAGTAGGATAAGGCTAGCGCGACATGCGGACGTTGGTACGTGTTGGTTAGTCTACAAACGTCGCCTAAAATAATTGATTTTACCCGGCAGAATGAAAGAAAGAAACTCCGCTTTTCAGTCGTCTTAGGGACTTGTTTTTTGACAAACAATGACCTTTCAGAGGTCAAATTGCTGTCAAGAATATGAATTGGCTGCTTCGCAGCAATAAATTTCATAAAGAAGTATATATACAATGTAGTTGTATACTGGTGTGGATTTACCTTGAACATGCTTGATTTACCTTTGATCTTTATACATTTGAGACTTAAACCTGTGTTATTTTTATTTATTTAGGTTGTATATCTCTATATTTATGTTGCTGTTCTTTATTAGATCTCACAGCTCTCTTAGAGGCTTTGCATTGTCTGACAACCAACCGCAGTCTTGTGTTCGGTCCAGGTAACTATGAATCAGAGTTCATAGGTTGTCTGTGTCATCTCCTCTTCTGTCTCACGGCTGATGCAAGGTAAGAAATAATTTTCAAATAATTACTGTTGGAATAATATCATTTTTATTATTTTAACGATGGATTAACTAGCTTGGGAGCTACGGCCATTTTAATTGCTTTTGTTAATCCTTGCCTACTTAGATTTACAGTCTTATTCTGTATTGTGAATTTTGTGGGTTTTTTTTTAGTTTTATTTTACTGTATGTGCAAATTGTAATGTGATTTTTATAAAAGGCTAAATAAAGAATGAATGAATGAATGAATCTGTCTATTGTATTTGTTGCTTTAGTTTTTTTTTTTTTTTTTTTTTTTTTTTCTGAAATTTTTTCTATCTGAAAAATTCTGATTTATCTCTATATTCTGTGTACAGGTTGTACTTTCACACTATCCCATCTTTACTAATTTATCACTAATTAAGAAGGAATTCTCTATATAACCTCCTACAACTCACTCACTCTATTCTTTTTCTTCTTGCTTTCAATTAACAATTTTTTTTTTGTCTCCAAGAGTTTTGAACTTCATAATTAATTTTATCTTGTTTTGTAATGTTGCTTGTTTTGTTCGAAAAATTTCTCGAGTGTTTTCCTTTGATGGTACCTCCAGATTTTCACTTCGAAGATTTCATAATTACTTTCTTTCTGAGTTTCATATTTCTTGCATCTTGTTTAGTGACTTCTCTTTAACTGTTAACTTTGCTTTATTTGTGAATTTTCAAATTGGTTTTCTCTTGCTAAGTGGCTTATCAATTCTAATTTAATTTGGTAATTTTGTCAATGCTTGCATTTTGCTTAGTGACTTTTCAATTCTTTTAATTTCAACTCAACAAGCATTCTTGCACCTTGCCTGGTATGCTCTGAATTTTTCTGGGCTTAGAGGGATTCTAATGTAGTTATTAGAGCAGCATATTTTTTCTTGCTTGATAGCGGTAGTAACACGTGTTCCCATTGTCAAACCAGTGACAGCGTTAGAACCACCACATGGCACGTAGAACCGTTACTAAGGAACAACGATAAGAATGAGTTGACACAGAGTAGCAATCAAGAAGGACAGTTGTTAGTAAGAAATGCTGCGAGGCGTGTGTGGGATGAACTTATTCAGTGTAAAAAACAGGTATTTATGCTATACGTATTTTGCAAATAATTACCTGAATAAATAAACTAAAAGCATCCCTCCAAAATAATAGAATCTTCCACCCTGAAGCACTTTACAACTCAACACTATGCTAACATCCTCACTCCCTTTTCACTGTGATCAAGTATGTATTGATCACTTTATACAACCAATCAGTGAAAGATAGCACAGGATTTTTATATTTCCAGTAAGCATTATTAGATGGTTGATTCTGGGGCTGAATATTAATTTTGATGCTATTTTTAATAACTATTTTCGTGTTTTTGGTATTGACCTTGAACAGTCAAAATCTTTTAATCAATATTTTTAACAATTTCATTTTAATTATCTGTTTAAGTAATCAATTTCAAGTATCATCATGACCTTTTAAATATTTTTTATCAATTGAATTTTAATTGTAATTGCTTTCTGTCTTTGTAATGCCTGCGAAAATCAAATTTCCAGTTGCTTTATTGGAAAATAAATCTTATCTTAATAATCAATTTTTTATTGTTTAATTTTAAATTTCTATTTTGCAGCTTATTGAAGACATATTTAAACTAACATTGCCATGCAAAACCATCCAACATGCTTTGTAAGTTGCTCAATCAATAATTAGTACTAAGTGATTACTTTATTTTAGCCAAATTGATACAAATATCTGCTAACAATTATTAATGCTTCTGGAAAGCGATTTATACAGTAGATCAAAAATGTATTTTTCCACAAGTATTTACGTTTCTTATTTTCATAGAACTGGTGGAAAATCATCTCAACATGTTGATCTTAGAATAGCAAGGTATTTAATATTTATTCTTGCCTTTTTATTTCTAATGAATGTAGAGTTTTGAACAATAGCAGGTCAATTTAAAAAAGTTTGTGGAAGCAAAACAATTTTAGGATAAATTTAAATAATTTTAATTTTATAAAGAATTTTAATGTATATTGTAAATCACATGCAATTCAGTTTCAATTGACTGCTATTTGTGATAAAAATAAAATGAAATGAAATGAACAAATAAGTAATAAAATAAATATTATATTCATTGCAATAAGTTGAGCAGCCAAAAAAAATAAATAAATGAAAAATAAAAAATAAATAAATGAAAAATAAAAATATAAAAATAAAACAATATTAAAGTTGTGTTAAGCTCCATCTACTCTATCAAATTTTATGTTACAAATTTGTGTGATGTGCCCATATATGGGCATGATGACATCATATTATACCCAAATATGGACATATCAAATTTGTTAGTGTGGACAGAGCATTTCTACTTTTAATGTATATTTATTTGTTTGGATTTAGGGAGACTATGTCTGAACATGCCAACAAGATGTGGTTGGAATACATTAACAAAGAGAAGAAGATTTCTGTCAGAGACTTCCAACAGCAGCAATCAGTAATTAATCAATCAATTATTAATCAATTGATTGATCAAAAATTGATCAATTTATCAATTAATCAATCAACAATTTATCAGATCAACCATGCCTTTGTATGTGTGTGATATAACATCACCATTCCTATGTTAGGCAAAATCATGCAAATTCATTGTTTATGATTGATTCTGTGCCTAATGACTAGAGAAACACTCTATACTATATATTACATAAGTATATTGTTTTACATTGTTTATTCTTAGCCATTCCGACCCTCTTATTGTTATTGATTTAGTGTCAGTCGTAGTGGTAATAATAATAAGTAAATGAACAAATTTTATTACTCACCCACTGCACTACTCAGTCAGGATATTTCTGCTCCATTCCCCGAAGTCCTGTTTACCGCTCTGGCTTCGTATCGTAACAAGGGAGTGTATACATAAGTATAACAAAAATATAATTTACTCTACTTACTGTTATTATGCAACAGTTTATGTTACAGATGATTATATGGTTTGTTTGCTTTTTTTTTTATTAGCGTTTTGCACGTGTTGGTAGCGGCCTCACTCGGTTAGCTACAAAGAAGCTTAAGAGAGAAAGCAGTATACAAAAATTCCCTGTGTTTGGTATTCAGGTAAATTTATTTTCCTTACAATATAATTACAATTTAGTAATTTACTGGATTTCAGGACTTGAGTGAGCTTTGTGATATGGACATTTTATCTGCAACAAATCGAGAATGCTGGTATTACCCTGAAAATCCACCTTAGATTTTGATTTTTTTTTGGTAAATATTTCCTCCATAGGATGCAATAAATTGTACGCTGACGCATGTCGCAATTGTTGATGACCTTGTGAAATTACAGTACAGCCAAGCTAAAGAGGTAATTGTACAAATTGGGTTTACTTTTGTCTACATATATACTCTCAGTACTGTCTTGAATTGAACTAATTCAATGTAAATTATAATAATAAATGAAAACTTGTGTAGAGTACTATAGTGTTACGTCACGATACCACGTGATACTACTCCATAATGAACGGTAACTTCCAGAGGGCGCCACCTGTTGTCATGACGACATGACTGTGGTACTATATAGCGCCGGTGTCCTCCACCCAAAGTGGCGCTTATGGCACTTTGATCCTGTACAACATGAACTTTCAATCTTTGGAATAGAGCAGCGGATGGTCAGCCAGTTCACCAGGGGTTGCAAGACACTGAGGCCCACAGGACCCCAGTTCATATTTAAGCAACTAGGAAATATTAAGTTACTTCCCTGTATTAAATGGTTATCAGGGCCCTGCTATTACTAAAATAATAACTGTATTTTACTCTGTATTTTTTAGAGCCAGCAATATTTTCAAAAATACATTCAAACAGAATGGAACCAGATGGAAGTTGAGTTGACAAGAGAGCGAGGACTGTGGGGACCTCCACATGGATCTAAACTGGACAAGTGGATTCTGGACCTGACAGAAGGGCCGAGTCGCATGCGTAAAAAGATGATTCGCAATGACATGTTCTACCTCAACTATCCGCACATACCAGATGTTTACAAAGACGCGGTAAGAACAGTTTGTTTACTCAAAACTTACTAGGATGAACTGCACTAAACACCAGAACTCCCCTTCAAATTAATAGAACCACCCAATCCTGAGTGTAATATGATGACCCATTTGAGTGGGTGCATAATTTATTATTGTTATTATTTTAAGCAGTCAAACAACTAATAACAGTATCAACAGTGATCTGTGTAATTTTAGAATTTATTTTTCTGTTGACATGATTGGATAATTCTAAACACATAACTAGCTCTGTGTTTCCATTGGTTTATTTGAAAATTCAATTCATATCAATGACATCTTGCTGTTAGTTGTAGTTTTTTGAGGTTTTATTATTTATTTTTGATTCAACCTACCCCATCTTTTATGTTTATTGTCATTCATAATCTTTTTTTCCCATCATGCAAGAGCATTGTGGATCGAGTGGTCGAGACATGCCACATAGCCATCAAGAATGTTCAAGTAAATTTGATTTCTTCGTACTTTCCCATATTTCTAACAAGCTAGCCTGCTGCAATAAGTCCTCCCTTAGCTTACAGCTCCTGTAGCCTGTATTGAGTCATGTACCACTGGTGCTATTTTACCCTGCTATTGTTAGGCCCTGTAATTGACCTTTCCAGAGTGCCTTGATATAACAGTTCGTGCCACGATCGAGCCATCTCCCAAACTAATCACAACAGGACTAGAAACACACACATCGACAAACACATGTTTTACATACTGTATGTTTACACTGTTGGTCTGTTTTGTGAATACTTACCTAGGTAAACCAACCAATTTATCCAGGTAAGTATCTCACTCATAGACTACCAACATAACTGCTAATTTGTGTACTTTGTCAAACCTTAGCAGCAATTTCCAAGGGGTGGGATTTAGTAGAAAGATCCATTGATTCATTAGTCTACTATAAAAGACTTAGGCCTATTAAATCATGTAGTGTACCAGGTATGACTTATAGGCTTCTGATCAAAAGGTCGAGAGGTCAAGTCTGAGACTGGTTGCTTGTTTGCATCCTTAGCAAGGCCTTTCCTACCCACAGACTACCAACATCTCTGCTGATTCAATTTACATTAACTTACTCAAACAATGTTACACTTGGTTTTTTTTCATTTTATTTTATAAAAAGAAGATATATAGAATAGTGGGGAATTTGATAGAATAGTGGGGATTTTGATAGAATAGTGGGTTATCTGCAAAATAAGGAGGTTTACTTCAGTAAGAACTTGTCTGCCTGTGAAATGTGTCGTTGCCTGCATGGTGCGGTGGTTGTGTGGATGTGTAAGGATACATGTGTAGTATCAGTTCCTTCTTCTGCACTCTACCTGCTGTCTTCCTAGAATATCTTCCTTCAAACTTTCCACTGTTCACTTTTGAAATAGAATGGATTATCTATCAAGCACGCTCAGATAGTACATGTTAGCTTGGGTATTAGTCCTCATATGAGCACGCTCAGATTGTTGATCCAGGTGTCTGTCTACCTGTGAGCACGCTCAGATGGATCTTACCTCATTTGTTCCTGTCCTTGGTTTGGTATGAAAATACAAATTAAAAAGCATGAATATTATACTGGGAATTTATGGTGAATTTGATGTAAATTTTAAATCAACAATTATGAGAAATCAAAGTCTCATTTTCAGGCTGAGTCTCCAATATTTAGAAAAGTGTTGGCCAAAGTTTCTGACGTGTTAGCCGATCGCAAAGAGGTACGTCACCATAGCAACAAGGAATGAATAGATGAAACAATCATGCCAAAAAAATATAATCTTGGCTATTCTGCTGGCTTTTTTTATTTAATTCATTATTATTTATATTCTTTTCATTAATACTGTTATTTTAATTAATTATCATTATTTTCTTTATGTATTATTTTTTATTTTGTGTATAATTTTTAAAATAAATATACATAATAATTATTATAGTGCTGTTTAATTCTAAAGCAATTATTTAATTGGCTCTAACTAATATTATTGCTTTGAAATGTTGTGAATATATTTTGAGAAAAGCAGGCAAAATATTTGATTAAATTAACCAATACTGGAACAAAGCATATTTTGTTCCAGAAAATGATGTTCAAAAATGATGTCCACTTAACTAGTTAGCTGTAAGCATAAGAGGAAATGGTTGTGAAGAAGAAGCAATGTTTGTGGCAAAAGTGTGTAGGAATTGAACATGTGACTAGGCCTATGCTTTTTCTATATGTATATTGCATCATATACACTAATACTTTATTTGTTTCTTTAAAATGTGTTCTTTATTAGCCTTATAAAGTACTCTTTGTTGTAAGCTGTGATCTTTCAAACAAATTATTTATTGTGTTTCTGTGGTTGATGAATATGTGTTAAATTCACTAAAATATCAACCAAAGTCAAAGTAACTATAAGGTGTATAATATTCTTATCCACAGTTATAATATTGTGCCTTAATATTATGTGGAAAAAGCTCAAAGCCATTTACTACTGTATAACACTGCAAGAAATATTTTGTTGCTAGACACTTCCAAGAGCGATGAGCCTAACCTTACTAGGGTGATGATTAACAGCAATGAAGCCTGGACCTAAGGCCTAGGCTAAACGAGATAACAATGTGATAGAATTATAAAGCAATTATTATTGAGTTCTTTTGGCCACAGATTTTAAAATAGAGACATTTCCTGAAAAGTATTCCTAAAGGAGAAATGTTTTTTTTTTTACTTTCCTAATTTGTAGCTGAAAGCTAATACTTTATTGAAATATGAAAATTAACATATTTATTTATTAAAATAACGAATGTTATGATAATATCTGCTATTTTTACTTGTGCAACGTAGCCTATATATATATATGGACAATATTAATAATATGAAACTAATTGATATTAATATTGTATATTTCACTTTGTATTTGTGCTTTAATTTAAAACTATGAAACAAAGGAGAAAGAAAACGATTATGAGAACAAAATTGACAATTTAATTATTAATATTGTCCACAGAAACCTTGCAAGGTTCGGATGGCAATGAGTCTGGACAGCCGTGAGTTTTTTTCTAGAAAAAGAGTCCAGAAGTTGATGAATACGCCACAGCCAGATAGCCCAGTCTCGGAATCAACCTCGGACTCGGATATTCATGGGGAGACATTGGAAGAAGAAGAAGGTATTCGAACAGGTAAGTTTTCATTTTATTAAATAACTGTTAATTAGTCTTTAAAGTGCTGAGTTTCACATTATTTATATTATTATTTTTTATTATTATTGTTTTTGTTTTTTCAATGATATTCATATTTTTTATAATATGTAACCATTTATCTCCTATTTCCTAATTGAAGGCATAAGGCCATCAAGTTTAGTTACTAGGAAAGATAAGACTGAGGAAGAAGAAACTGATGTAAATGAGGCAGATACACCTGGAGATAAAGAGGAGAACACAACAGACAACCAGATGGTCCTCAGGTTGTTGGAGGAAGGAGAAATAGTAAGTATACTTACACAATGACGTACTGATTTGTGTTATTTTTACTGGAAGACTTAGTAGTTTTGTGAAGCAACATTTTGTTAATACCACACTTGTTTCTTTTTTACTAGATTCGCTACATGTTTAGGTGTGCCCGTATCCAGGGACTTGATACGTCAGAAGGCCTGCTACTCTTCTGTAAGGATCACTTCTACGTGGTCGATGGCTTCACGTTGCATTCCAGTCATGAGATTTGTGATGTAGACTCACTACCAGCAAAGTAAGTTTACACTTAAACGAAAAGAGGATGATGGAGATCTAGTGAATGGTTGTGAGGGAAGTAGTTGAATAATGGTTTAGATTTTCTCGATTCACTACGTAGCTAGTGTATATGATCTTGCTTACGTAGTGTGGTAGAAGGATTCGCAGGTAGGATAACTGACGTGGGCCGCGACGTAAAGGCTCCTTCTGTGGCCAGACGGGAGCCTGAAGAGAACCAGTAGTCCAGGGTAACCTTCTATTCTTCTCAATGAATGAACTGTGTTCTTTAAAGTGCACACGATCCAATTGTGTACACTGAACCTACGGTTTAGAGTCCTTATCTGAGAAGACTTGTTCCACCACCGGAACTATGGTGAGATATAGTGAGGGGATGATTAAGACTGAAAGGGTGAGTGAGGTGTAGTGAGACGATGAGTAAGATTTAGTAAGAGTTCAATTTACAGTCACTCCATTTTATGCACTCTGTATAATTAACTATCTGTATTGATTTCTGACAGAACTCAGGAGAACCAAGACCCAATCATTCCACGCACCTCACACTGCTCAAGATCAGTCAGCAAGAAAATGTGCAGCAAGTTTGCATATGAAGACATTCGCGAAGTTCACAAAAGACGCTACTTATTGCAGGTGCAAAAACTAATTATTTTAGACTATGGGAGGAGATTATTAGTACAGAATAGGTTTTGATGAAAGAGTTATAGGAGGTATCCACCAGCAGTGGCCTAAGCAATTTATAGTAGTAGTGATGATGAAAAACTATTGAAAAAGATGGCATTTCGCAAACTAATTTTAATGATGTTCTGAAAAATACTACATCATTTTTCTTATTTTTTTTTCAGCCCATTGCTATTGAAGTATTTTCGTCGGATGGAAGAAACCATTTTCTAGCATTTCCCAGAAAGATCCGTAACAAAGTGTATGCAAGGTAAGATGCCAAAATATTATTTTTGTCTGATGTATTTTTTGTTGATTTATTCATATATGTGTATTCATTTATATAGGTATTAAGATTTCATATTGAATGATTTAGACTTCAAGCACCTCCAGTACATTAACTAGCTGATGATTCCAAAATCAGATTTTTTATTGATTTATTCAGATATCAATTTACAATATTTCTATTTCTATGATCTATCTATTAAGTTATTTGTGTTTCCTATTAATTTATTCAGATATTCAAGCTGTTTCATCAATTTATTCAGGTGTATTGATTGTAATTTTCTATTTAGCACAGCTATTATACCTATTTTTTTTTTCAAAGGTTTGTTGCTGAGGCAACAAGATTGACAGATGATGCCAACCAATCAGTATCAGGGATGAAGAGAAATGCTCAGATTGAAGGCGGGTAAGTACAGTAATCAACCAATCAAGAAGTACCTCAAAAAGACCTGATGGTGTATATTACTTATATGATTTTTGTCAGACCCCAAGGTAACAGCAATATATGTATGGCACATAAAACAAACAATACTTTAGAAAATATTTTTATGTAGCAAGAGATCAGTTTTTAAATTGTATTTTTTACAGGACTAGTTTTCTTGGTCTGGGAAATCTGATAGGAGAAAAATCTGTCACACAGAGATGGGAGGTAAGTCTATAAACATTCTCTTCATTTAAGTGTAACGTTGGAGAAAAAAATGTTTAATTTTGAAAGGCTGCCCTCCTTGTCTGTTGTTTAATTGTCATATATGGTTTAACTGTCTTGATTACTGTTCAGCAAGGTAAGTGACCTATTGATTTGAAAGAACAAACTAGGGAACAATAGATGGCAATAGAGAGCTTTCGATTTTCGTGACAACACGATGCTAGAACTTACTCACTCATGCGTGAACGTCCTACTGGGTGTCCTCCTTCTTCTGGTTCTGGCTCCCTAATGTAGAGGTTTTTGAACATGAAGTTGTTTACGGTTTTGCTATATTTTCTGAAAGTACCGCCTGTGGTATTCGTTGGAATGTTTCACCTCTGGGAGTTAAGAAGACTTGCCTTATATCTGGTTGTTCATGTATTTGTTATTATTTGTCTTTTTTCAGCGTGGTGAGATCAGTAACTTCCAATATCTGATGTACTTGAACACTCTAGCCGGTCGCTCTTACAACGACCTCATGCAATACCCTGTCTTCCCATGGATCCTTGCAGACTACGAGTCCGAGGTAACGTGTCATGGACAACAGTTGTGTTTTTTTTTTTGTCTAAATTGTAACATTACGTTTGTTTTTAAAACAATTTTTTAAAATCATTGTATATTTTCCTTTTTTATATTGTACAATTTCCTAATCTGCTTTCTACCATTTTTTTTTCTCTATTCAATAGGAACTGAACTTAGCCGACCCAACCACTTTCAGAAACCTGTCTCAGCCAATGGGAGCACAAACTCCTGAACGACTTGGTCAGTTCAATAAAAGATATCGTGAATGGGAAGACCCTACAGGTAAGACATACTGAAGTAGGTCTGTGGCCTGGTTCTGCTGTAAGAATATTGTAGTCTAGTGTGTTTAGAGGGAGGGCATTAATAAGTGTAGGAAAGCATGGCTTGAATCTGGTTTCTTACTATTTCTACAGTACCCATGCAACACTCACTCAAGTTCTTGGACTAACATGGATCTAACATTATTTGTTATGTCTAATAAACACACATCTGATAGTCATTCCTGATTTATTTAACATTGTATAGGCGAGTTTCACTCTAATAAAATTTCTACCACATTCCATTTATCTACAATAAATTGAAAATGTTACTTTTAAAAGTGAAATCTTTTTGTGATCCATAGGAGAAACACCAGCCTACCATTATGGCACGCATTACTCATCAGCGATGATAGTAGCCTCCTACCTCGTGCGAATGGAGCCATTTACTCAGCACTTCCTAAGGTTACAGGTAGGTTTTGCATGTATATATAATAAACTTACTATGTCAATCTGTAAAGTTCGCACTATCTATGTCTACAATAGAAATATCAAAATAAAATAATAAGAAATAACGTCTGATTTATCAAATATATAGATCATCCTATTCAGTATTCAATTGGGATAATTTTTTTTGTTTTTTGTTGCTAGGGCGGCCATTTTGATTTGGCTGACAGAATGTTTCATAGTGTGAGTGATTCCTGGCAGTCAGCTTCCAAACACAACATGGCCGACGTCAAGGAACTGATCCCAGAATTCTTCTACCTTCCGGAATTCATGACAAATCATAACAACTTTGATTTTGGTAAGTCTTGCATGTAATACTAATTGACCGAGCGGCTAAGTCAGGGGCACCTATCCTTCAGCTATAATATCCATGCTGTTCTAAACGGTTCACTCGCCAATGGTTCCGATGGTGGAAATGGATATGCCATGTAGGATAGTGATTAAGTTTACTGATTGGCATATCCTATTCACTCGTGCCTAAATTAATTAAATTTGTTATCACTATCAGCTCTTAAGTATTCATCTACAGAATACTGTTTGTATCAATTTGTACTCTGTAAAAGTGATTTTTATTGTTTATTTATATTATTAATATTTATATTATTACTCTGCATCCAACAGAAGTAGACTCGCCATACACAAGGTTGAAGCGATGCTCTATAAACAATGGTTAATAATGAAGCTTAGGATGTGATTCTTTCCTTGATCATTTTCTTTCGTTCCTACGATATTTATATTTCATAAATTATTTATTGATCAGGTGTGAAGCAAAATGGTACTCGGTTAGGGGATGTTATTCTACCCCCATGGGCAAAGGGAGATCCAAAAGAATTCATCAGGATGCACAGAGAGGTACTGTAAATGAAGTTCAAATCTAGGTGTTAAACAAGTAAACAAAGAAATACATACAGTACTGTTGTGACAGTTAAATCCTTCAACCGTATATGTATATGTTTGATCAGACACAGGCAGACAAAAATATCATTGTGTACTTTAGTATGTGCCGATGATGAATTCACAAGTATTTTTGTTTAGACACATGAGTTTCAAATCTCAGTCTTGTAAATATGTAGGTGTAAAAATGGAATAAATCTTGTAAGTAAACAAAGAAATACATACTGTTGTGATATTTAAATCCTTCAGACATATATGTATAAGTTTGATCAAACACAGGCAGACAAAGTATTATTATATACTTTAGTATGTGCCGATGGTGAATTCACAAAGTATTTTTGTCTATGTACATTTTTTAAAACAGTAAATTACATTATTCTAAAAAGAATTAATCTTACAGACAATAATACCGATAATTTCTCATTTGTTGTCTGCCAAGGCTTTAGAATGTGACTACGTCAGCAGTCATCTGCATGAGTGGATTGACCTCATTTTTGGCTACAAGCAATCTGGACAGGCTGCAGTGGAGGCTAACAATGTATTCCATCATTTGTTTTATGAGGGCAACGTTGATATCTACAGCATTGATGACCCACTGAGAAAAAATGCCACAATTGGATTTATCAACAATTTTGGACAGATCGTTAAGCAGGTTAGAAAGATTGGTTAAATTAAAGATGAAACATTTTTAATACATGTCTGTCATATATAGTGTGCCATATCTAGTATATTTCATCAATTATTGTATCGATTTAGTACTGTCTGCACTTTTTTTTTCATTCCCACTCAACGCCGTTTTTAAAAAATGATCATAGGTGAAGTTAACATGAACTAACTACCTTTTTCCATAAAAATATTTTAATTCATTTGTAACTCCAAATCTTATTTATAATTACTAAATAAATTCAATCGTAAAAACACACTTGTAATTATTGTTTCAGCTGTTTAAGAAGCCCCACCCACCAAAGAAGTTCAACAACCGAGTGGGCGACCAATCAGGCTCAACAGTCATCCAGATTGACAGATTGTTCTTCCATAATCTTGACCTCCTACGACCTGCCTTATATCCTATCAAAGGTTAGTCTATAACACACTGCACATGGCTCCATCCACACTATCAAATTTTATGTGTGACATATATGGGTATGATGACAGCATAGGACATCATCACGACCATATATGTTCAATTCATTGCAGAACTTTAAAATGAATAAGCATTGTGATGTACTGTTAGTTTTTCATCTGTGATCTGTGTTTTCACTAGAAATCCAAAAAATAACAACAATGAATACCTCTATGTTATAACATAATACTGAATGAGTAATTCAAATTATTTTTTTTTGTCTTCAGAAATCAAAGGTCCTGTAGGTCAGATCATCCAAACTGATAAATCAATAGTCTGCGTCGAGCAGAACAAAGTGCTTATACCGCCCTCATACCATCGCTACTTTGCATTTGGATTTGCCGATCTCAGTCTACGTCTTGGAAACTATGACACAGATCGTTTGACGACAGTGTTTGAAGGGACGCAGTGTGGTGAGATTTTGACAGCAACTTGTGCCACCTCGAAGATACTGATCACCGGTGGGACAAGTACGGTGGTCCATGTTTGGGAATATTCCACAAGCAAAGAGAAGTCTAACCAGCTGACATTGAAACGTGCCTTATATGGGCATACGGATGCGGTCACATGTTTAGCTGTGTGCACATCGTACAACATCATCATCAGTGGGTCTCGGGATAAGACTTGCATGATTTGGGATTACAATCAACTCGTTTTTATTCGTCAGTTACGTGACCTAGGTGCTCCTGTTACAGCTGTCTGCATCAATAATCTAACTGTGAGTTGCCTGATAAAAACTAAAGAAAGCTTGGTTTCCATACAATTGCTACACGCTGTTGCTTTCGGGTCAGTTAACTGTAGAAATACTAAAATTTATTGCAACAAATAATTTTCAACTACTTCTGTAGTCTTTGTCAAAGCTTGACATCCTATGATAGCTTGACATTTGTTAGGAAATTAGGAGTAGTCGAAATATTCATTACAATAAATTTTACTGTTTCTAAAGTCAACATTTTAAGCTTTCGGTGATGCTGATTGGTCAGTGGAATCGGAGAGCCTTCCCAATTGCGTTGGGAACTGTTACGAAGTACAACGATTGCACTGAAAACACTATAGCGACAATGTAGCGATTTTAAGATAACCAGGTTTTTCAATTATTTATCCTTCCAATGTTAAACAATTCTGGAACACCCCACCCCCCTCCCCCAGTCAGAAAAACACCATGTATTTAATTCCATGACCCTGGTCGAAGCTCTTGGCAGCACTTTGGTTTGGACCTTCCCCTTTCAGACTTTTAGATTCCCTGTTGTTTTAGTCTTCAGAGTATTTGACAATTGTTTTTTGTTTTGTAGGGGGACATTGCTAGTTGTTCAGGTGTGTACCTTCATCTGTGGAGTATCAATGGCGACTTGATAGCTAGTGTAAACACATCCACTGGAAGAGAGCAACAGATCTTATGCTGTGCCATGTCAGAGGTTAGTATAAGTCAATATAAATTTAAATGCTTTATTTTCAGTTTGTGTTGTCCATGTTCATAAACACACATCCAAAATCAGCAGATGGTGTCGTGTAATACTATGCTCACAGACAGCAAAGATTGTTTAGCTAGCCAACAGTTGATAATATAATATTGCATTGTATTTGTTGTTACAGCTCGTAGAGTGGGACCAGCAAAATGTTATTATGACTGGTTCCAGTGATGGAGTCATTAGGGTGAGTAGTCTTGCAATTGTTTTTAATAATTTGCTTGTCTGAATGAACGATTGTTATTTTTATAAAATGTGACATCAATTGTGGTTATTGGTTGAAATTCTTTTTTTTTTCCAGCTCAATGTCATTGAGTTCCGTTTGGATGAATGAAATTAGCTTATCATATACATTTATTGAAGATGTATTGTTGATTTATTTTTTTGAAGTGTATTATTTAATTTCATTGGTTTGTCAAAAACTACTAATAGGTTTTGTTAATAAATTTCTATAATTTTTGGTTTTGTATTGTTAGATGTGGAGTGTGGAGTTTGTCCAAGTTCCAAAGGAGAACACCACTAATGACAAAGTCCCAGAGAAAGTGCCTTCGGAAACCTCTTCCAGGAATGATGACCATCATGACACCTTGACAGCCAACAATCATGACACACCAGACAACCTCTCTGATGCTGACACCAAGAGTATCGATAGCGCCCTCAGCGCTGGAGATCTAGCGTTGATGTGTCGTGTTTCAAAATCTGATCCTTGGTGTTATGAAAACGGTAATGACGCACAAAGCACCTGTGCCATTGACGATGGAATGGCATCCATTGAGAGTAGTCAATACACGGTTGGAGAAGACTTGGCTGGGACTGGAACAATCTACAGATCAACCAGCTCAGATGATGTCAAAACATCACAACCTGTCTCTCTGTCCGTAACAAGGGCAGACAGCAATAATCAATTAGATGACGATCATGTCGGAATGGAACCCCAGTACAGTGTCACTCCTGAAAATGACAGTTTGATTAACAGTAGAGGGCAGTCTAATGTTAACTCTCCAACTTCGCCATTAAGCTCAAGTGACTATATCATAATTACAGATAGTGAATTAGAACAAGTAAAAGACACAAAAGATGAAAAAGAGAGTAACACATCAGCAATGCACAGGAATATATTGAAACCAGGTGAGGAGAAAACATTTATTAATCACTTACTTGTATCTGTCACATAATCTTCGTCCTCCTTCACCACAGCATCTTGTCTCCTCCGAAGCATTTTCATCATCCTCCTCCTCCTCTGAATCATTTTCAACATCCTTCTCCATAGTTTTTTCACTATCAGTAGCATTGCAGGATCATCGTGGATGGCCAGAGTTAATGAAGCCCATGCAAGCTTGACAAAATAATGATGGTTATCATTTTCCAAATTATTGCCCTCTCATGCAAATTATTATACAACTGAAATTCAAATTTGATTACACACAAATATAATACATAATTCAAGATAATGTTGATTATTCATAGTCAGTATTAACCATTTTAAAATGTCCTTAATTACAGGGTTCAAATGGCAGCGTCAACTAATGTTTCGCAGTAAACTTACGATGCACACAGCATTTGAACGCAAAGACAATACTCAACCAGCTCATGTTACATCGCTTGCCATTTCAAGGTTGGTCCCATGAAAACTCAAGTCAAATTGATCTAATCATGGGTTATATCAAATATCACTTAAAGCACACTGCCACCTGAAATCTGATATGAAAAGTTGAATTGCTTAATTTTGTCTATCTTAATATTAATATGTTACTAGCTTTTAAAAATTAAGCATAAATGAAAGTAAAACATAATCAAAATACAGTAGAACCCCAAATTTGGGACACCCCTATTAATGTGACACTCCTATTAAGGAACACCGTTAGGCCATGTGAGGGAAATGTGTCTTTTAACACTATGGCCAACCCCTATTCAGGGGACACTTTTTACAGTCCCGATAGTGTCCCCTTAATATGAGTCCTACTATGCATATAATATAAATGATTTAATAATAGAATTATAAATTCACTTGAAAACTAAAATCTGGATTAATATATTTTTACATCACAATTTATCATTTATAATTTTGTCATAAATTTTCAGAGATCATTTAAAAGTGTTTGTTGGCGATGATAAGGGGCGTGTATTTAGTTGGACCGTAGCCGATCCATGTGGTAAAGGTGTTGCCGATCACTGGGTGAAGGATGAGCTTGGTGAGAAATGCAATCAATGCGGTGTTAAGTTCACGCTAACCGAACGACGACATCACTGCCGTGACTGCGGAAACATATTTTGTCAGAAGTAAGTTGGCTTTATTGATTAGTATTGATCTATTAGTTGATGCAGTGATTCTAATCAGCCTCTTAGGTCAGATGTTAATGTTTGCATTGCTAACTGCAGCATATGGAATATTCCCCCATTGGTGTCACTACGTGCCTCATAGGCATTTGTTTCCTTGGCTATATGAGAATGACATTCATTCATATTTACTATTTTGAAGGCTCTGTCCACAATAGCAAATTTTATGTGACAAATAAATGTGATACACCCATATTTGGATGTAATATGAAACCATCATGCCCATATATGGATACATTACTCAAATGTGTCCCATAAAATTGGATATAAGTGTGGACATGGCTTTAGCATGATGATGCAAAACGTTGAGGTTAACTGTCTTGATATAGTGCTCAATAAATGATAAATAATTAGTTTTTCCATAATATTTTTTTTTAAATTAATTAAACTTATTCTTTATCAGTAAGACTGATTCTGAATTGCTTACCTGTTAATATTTCATTCACTTTCACAGGTGTAGCCGATACGAGTCGGTCATTCCACGCCTTCGCATAACAAAGCTGGTGCGTGTGTGCCAAGCTTGTTATTATCGCCTCAAGTCTGCCTGAGATCCTTTTCATTCCACAATAGACAAAAATATTATAGAGACATCCATTGGGTCTTGTTTCTCGTATACTATATATATATATATTAAAAAAAAGGATTGGAATTGTAAAATGTTTGTTTTATTTCTTAATAGTGGATTGTAATTATAACTTGTATATTTAATTAATTCCAAAAGAATGGTTTACAAAAGAAAATGTGAAGGTTTATTGTTTATGTATAAAATGTATATTATATTTACCAATCATGCCAAAAATGTAATGTACTGTATGTTAGATGACAGGATTTCAGTCATGTTTATCTCAACGCTGGTTGGTAGCAATGCATAAATTATGCTTTATGTAAAACATTTAAGACCAAGAATCTGTAAGGCACAAATCTTAAATTATTTGACATAGTTAGGACATTTGTTTATATTTGTTTTTCTGTACCATTGGGAATAAGTGCGTCGTGGTGGAGAGAAGACTTGAACCAGGAATTCTGGTATAAACAGCATGTGCATATCACTACCAACAGAGTTATGAAAATTTAATGTTCAGTTGTAGGAGACTCCTAGTGGTAATTTTAACTAGTATATATTATATTATCTATAAACATGAAATGTGTGTATATAGAGTTTATAGAATTTAGATAGTTATGAATGTTGGTCTATAGCTATATATTCTGTTTGATCAGAATTGGGCTCCAGATGTACAAATACTTGGGGGGAAAATGAGATAAATCTGTGTATACAACATAGTAACCATATGTACAACATTAGATTGCCATGTGTGTATACCATAAGCGATCATGTGTACAACGTGAGACTGTCATGTGAACAATGTGAGACACCCATGTGTATAACATAAATGATCATGTGTACAACATGAGACTGCTATGTGCAGTGCATGATATAACCATGTATACAATACTTGACAACCATATGTACAGCATGACACAGCCATGTGTGCAACATGAAACAACCATGTGTATCAGATGACACACTCATGCATATGACATGAGACAAGAATTTGATGACATGATCATGTGTAATCATGAAATAACCATGTGAATAACATGACATGATCACATGTACAACATTAATTAACATTAACATTATTTTATTTCACTTATTCACATCAGGATTTATTTCTAGGTTTATTGAATTGCACCGTAATATAGGTTTGTAGTTGAAGGTACCACTACTTAATGGCATTATTAAACTAGTACTTTGATTAAATTTTTTTAATTACATTTTATAATTTGCACAAGACAATCTAAATTATGGTATTTAATTCAGGCTCAGTTGGCATCAAGCAAATAAAAGAAACAGACCTTCCACTCTGAACTATCATAAAATGGGCCAAATATTGATAATCTATAAGTAAATAATATATTTTAGTTCTCCAGTATCCATTATTAAATATGTAACTTTTTGAATCATTTATGAATTTTGGTCAGAATAATCTTGCTGTCAATAATCTATTTATAAATTGGATGTTATTTTGTACTTAATGAATGAATCACAAATCAACTTGAAAGCATTATTATCATTAGAATGCATTAGTATATTTCAGTGTATGTTTTTCCCTTACATAAGGCTAAACGGTAATTGTTATGTGCTGAGTAGTCATTTGGCTCTTCTTTATGATTAACCCTATTTTAAAGATTTATTTAAAAATTTGTGTTTGTAAATTTGATACATGCTAATGTTTAACATGTAAAATATGTTGTAATTTGGGGAGATTTTAGCCCCTTACTTATATATTTCTTTGAATTTAAATTTGTTAAAATGATATCCAAATTTATGATTAAATATTATAAATGATAAAAGCGACATCTTGCCAGTACAGTATAGGCATAGTGGTAAAAAGGAATTGTTATACTGATAATAAATAATGTGCTTGTAGAATACAACTTGCTATGAGCACTAACACAATCAATAGAATAGAACAACAAAAACTTATTTAATGGTTTCAACGAATCCTGTTTCGCTTGTTCTTGTAAATTGATCTCACGTAGAGTAGAGTTTAACAAATGAGGTCACATGTAGCATCATAGCCAATCAAGAAGTAGAGATCAGGATGTTCATTTTTTTGTCATTAGAATGGTGAATGTGGGCCTAGACAGTAATCATGGTGGTATTGAGAGTCTAGAAACACTGGACACTGATGATTCAGAGGAAGTGATCATAAGCCTTGTGGTGCTATTTATCTTGTTCTGTTCTTTGTTTTAATTTAGCTTTTTTTATGTTTATATTTTGTACTGTAAGCAGTAGTTTCATCAACACTATCTTTGTTTAATTTTTGACATTGGAATTTTTATTTTATTTGAGCAATATTTTATGAATCTAACCCTCACAAATCTGGCACTAATTCCAAATATATATGATTATTTAGAAAAATTAACTTAATCAATTAACAGTTAATCAATTAACAGATGATGTATTGGTATGTAATTTTAAGCATAAAGGTATATTTTTATACCCTCATGGTATATCAGTGTTTGTATTGCCAAATATAGAAAAAAATATCCTACAATAAATATCCTGCAGAAATCCCAATTAATAGTATCCAGATATGCAATGTGACAAATATCATCATGCCCAAATATGAATGTTATATGACATTATCATGCCCATATATGGATGAAATATGGCAAATTGCATTTTTTTTGTTTATCTTTATCCAATTATTTTTATTTCTCTCATTTTATATTTTGCATAGTCATTGTGTACCATTTTACAGTACTTTATTTACCCAGTTTAATTTGCACTATGACCTTTGATAATTTATTTGCAATTAGTACATTATACACGTTTGATTATTATGTTATGGAATATGAATATACATACATATAAATTGCTGCAAGTACAATATCCCTATACCTAGATGATTGGCCTTTTGTTATATTAAGATCTAATCCAGCCGAGGAAGGACACTAATTAAATAACTGATATACGCCCCCAAAAAGTGGATATGAGGTAGGCTAGAGCGCACTCAAGAAGCCGCAGCTGTATTATAATGATGTGACATTAAATGTTGCTGTGTGATAAAATTAAATGTATATAAATAATAAAATATTTGTAGAAACAGTGCTCAAAACAATGATGTAAAGATTGTATTGGACAAAGTCCATCAGTGAAAAGGTTCTTTAAAAAGTGCCTCCGATGGGTCCAAACTGCAACAGGGGGCGGATCAAGAGATGTCCAATGGGGGGGCCGATCGAAACAATGATCGAATATGCTAGGGGGTCCTGGGTCATGCCCCCGCGAAATTTGTGTGTTCTAGATGCCCGAAAATAACATTTGAGGCATTCTGGGCCATCATTTTTTTCTTTTTCTTCCTTTTTTCCTTCCTTTTTTCTTTTTTTTACCTCCCAAAAGTATAATCTACCAGCTGCCAGTTGTCTTTAGATGAAAGATCACAATTGTTATTGTCTTTATAGTTTGACCATCCCTATGACCACCATAGTTTTATGTTTTTTTTATGGAGTGAATAAAGCAGACTAAACTGTGTTGTGTCCTGTTAAAATGATTAGTTTTTCCAGTCTCTCCACTTGTAAACAAGTAAATTGAATTTAACATAACTAGACATATAGTCACTGAACTAGATAATTATGATTATACCTAGTTAAACCTAGCTTAGAACACCAGTTGGCCTCCATATACCATCTAGATACCATATCTTGATCAAATCGTTAGGCAAATTTATCTGTATGTGTGCAATCTTTTTTTTATATACATTATTCCGATTATGTCAGAAATGTTATGAATATGGTTATATATTAAATAAAACATGGAGTTACGTAATCTATAACATTGTATGTCTTTTAATACGGAATGTCTGTCTAATGTTTTTTTATTTTAGATTTATGAAGTAACTAATCATTTTGTAATCTTACTTTTGCCGTTTTTGAGAGGTCTGGTTTACCCTATTCAAGGTCTTTGTATTCATTTCAAGCTATAATATTTTAAGAGATACGTTCCTTATACCCTTTCCTTATATATAAAAATTATCAATGTTTATTTCGCAAATTCAATGTATAAACTTACAAGCAATTAATAAAAATGAAAACTTGTTAAAATACTACTGTATGCTCTTTACAATGGACCTTTCCGCTAAGCTCCGCCCCTTGGATATTGTTGCTTAGGTCACACAAAGACAGCAGTGTTAAAACATACGCGAACACGTGCGTTTGTGGGACAACACGTGTGTTTGTAAGACGCGCGCGCATTCCTAGCGCTGTTCTGATTAGTCAGTTGTTAAGTTTGATTGACACTCTGGAAAGGTCTATTAAAAAGCAATACAACTTAATCACAATTTCACAATCGGATTTTGAGATATAGGCCTAGGCCTTCGTAGGGCCTACCTTAAAATATGCGTAGGCGGAAATTTATTAAAACAGGAAACCAGCATTAATGTGGCGATATGGACGCACTACATGCTTAGGTTTGTACCTCAAGTGTAACGTTTTCTTGGTATTTACTGCACTAGAAGAAACTCCCACAGTAAAATATGACAAATGAGATCGAAAGCATTAGGCACCAAAAATGCAATAAGACACCATTACGATTATAAACTGAACAATTTGTTTTAAAATGAAAATGCACTTAACAGTAAAATGCCACTTACATGCGAACTGACAATCTTTATCTTCAATTATAAAAATCAAATATTCAAATATGCACCATAAAAACTTGATCAGAAAAAATATAGACTATAGACCTACTATAACACGCACTTCTGTGATAGCTTCAATGATCACTGTTGCGATGAATTAGTTTTGAACTTGTCCAGTTTCATTGGTTGAATTTAGTTAACTATTTATTAATTTATTTATTAGTGAATATATGAAGTATGCTTCTAAAGCTAAATTTACACTAGACACGATTACGACACGACAACGAGACAATACAGATGCGCGCCGTGTTGGTGTCTAGTAATACAGATGATTTTTTAAAACATAAATGCTAATGGGATTTATAGGTGGCCTATTGACAAATCAAGTCATTTGTTTTATTTTTCTCTTTAAATTTTTTGAAGTTTAGATATATTTTTCAATTTATAAAAAGTATTACACTCTTAATTAAAACCAAAAAAAGAACGCTAGGAATAAAATGTTAACAATTATGCAACATGAACACATTTAAAAGTAGGCCTACTTATTGTAATAACCTACTTGCTTTGAGGGAGGAATGTTTTCTTTGCTAACCTCGCCCCCCCCCCCCCACCCCCCCCCCCCATTTTACCGATGTTCCTATGTTCACAAATAATTCAATGGTTTAGGGACATGTATATAAAAAGTCATAAGAATGGAATAAAGTTTTTGTTGTACCAGTAAATATATTTGCCAAAAATCCTGAGTTTTCAAGTGAAAAAAGATGGAAAAACGACCGTTTGAAATAAAAATGTGTTGATAGAAAAAAAACACCCCCAAGTGATGATGGAGGGGGTGATAAACTAATAATTTTTTTTTTACTGGGCCTAATTATTGTGGAATAGTTTTCTCAGACAAACTTTCTTCTTGGACAAGTCAATACATACAATCTTGAAAAAAAGTTTACCTTTTTACTGAAAATAGTAGAATACATTATTTAATTATGAAAATTGATGAACGAACAAGATTTTTTTTAAATTTTATGGAATCACGCCCTCAAGAACTGTTGATATTGTTTTGCGCCTGCGTCAAACCATGAGGTCAACATAAAGCGGAGAGTGGCGGATACGTCTTTTTTTTGCTTTATAGGGTTTCGTAGAGGACTTTATTTTGTTTTTCTCCTTTATTTGTTGTTTGCGACTAGTTAACAGCCATAAATATCAATAATTCAGGTATGTAAGTCTGTACCTTATATCGAAGGTTGTCTTTGATTTCTGGATTAAAATAACAATTTAAAACGTTTCATTACTCAAAGTCCTCAAGAAGAGGCAAAGCAAAGTGATCGAGTCGATTCGGCTCCAAATGAGTCGTCACCGTCACACTGGATTTAACTAGCCTAGGTAGGCCTATGTAGAGCAGGGAAGTATTTGGGGGACCTAGCTGGGGCATACGTATAGGCCTAGCGTCACAACTCATTTTGCAATAGTATTGCATCTCGAATCTGTTTAATGCTGGTAAAAATACTTTAGACGGTAACAATGTAGGGTACATTGTGTAATGCAGTCTGCCTAAATTGGAAAAAATATTGTTACAACAAAGGGTGTCCAGGCCAGCATTGCAGCAGGGTACACAAAATGAATGTGAGATTGTGAAAACACAATATGCAAAACCATGCATTATGGTGGAACAACTAGAGTAACTGTTACATGACTGAGAGCTATATGCGAACCTAACCACAATTGCAAATACTGTAACAAGCATAATAGAATACCGACACTTGCAGGGATATAGGGCTAGGCTAGTAACATTATCTAGAAAATATTCAGATTTGATAGATAGACCTATGTTGGTGCTATAATTCATAATCTCATTTGCTTTACATTTTAAAAATGCTGCTCGAAGTATATTCTACCGGTGCAACACTGTCATGCAATTTATTTTTCAAAGTCGATAAGCTTACGCTGAGATGTAGTGCATTAAGATAGCGGGAGTTATTTTTAAGGTTATTGTAAAGCCAAGACAACCAATCAGTGCTTTGGGATATTGATCACTTCGGTGTAAGCATACCCACAACTTTTATTTTTATATTTTGGCATGGCAGACACATTGAAATCTACATATATGATGTCACATGCTTGTTTTTTGTAGCTTCCAGGATACGTCGGTCAAGATGCCGCGATATGGAAGTAAGACGTATGGCAAGACGCGGCAAACATCATCAAACACCAACTTCGACGAAGCTTATGATGGCACAAGACGTCCTGTGACACGCTCAACACCTACCAAGATGGTTTCTGGCCGCTCTACCCGCAGCTCCACAACCAATAGAAACGGAGAAGCGCTATCTCCAGCCAAAAGGCGACGGGGAGATATGGATCCATTCAGTTTCAGCAGCGATGAGGACTTATCACCGCGGAAACGAACTCCAGTAAAGAAGGACAGTGAGAGAAATGTTGGTGCCAGTTTGAAAATGGAATCAAATAGTGATGCAGGAAATTCTGTAGGTGAAGTAAGTAATAAACCTAGGACTAATCAGGAGTTAGATACCAATGTTAAACGATCCAGACAAGCTTCAAGTTCTAGTAATGAAGGTGATTTCGGTCCTTTACCAAAAAAGCAAGAATCTATTCTCAAATTTACAAAACGACGGGTTATGAATGGACCAGAGGAGGAATCAGATGTGGTTTTAAAAAATGATACCACAACAGAAACTAATAAAACAGAAGAAATCTTTGATATAAAAGGAATCAATGAGGAATCTCTTGAAGAAAGTAAACCGGAAAAAAAGAGTAAAATTGAGGAGGAAAGAGAAATGAGAGAACAGCAAGATGCTGATTTCTGGAATCGCATTCTTGATTTAGATACAGATGAAAAATCTGGCAAATCAAAGAACAAAAGTGACAATAAGAATGCTACAAACAATGAGGTCCCAAAATCAAAAGCTTGGCAAGTAAATGATTGCCAAGAACCGTCAACAAGTAGTAATGTTACCCAGTTTCTTCCTCCATCACCGAAAAAGTTTGACCATACATATAGCCGTGATGTCAAAATAAAAGGTCAAATGTCACCTACAGATCATACATATAGCAAGGAGAAAGTAAAGCCGTCTAGTAGCTGTGGAGCACTGGTGTCGTCTGTTGAGATTGATTCCAGCCAATCATCAAAATACACGAACGCGGCTTCCCAATCAAGTTTATCGTCCCAAAAAAGCAGTGAGATGCAATTATCCAGCTCACAGTCTAGCAATAGTGTTGTTGATGAGTTTGATTTTGATGCTGATACCGGTTCATCACAGGAATCAATGAATCCTGCTATATCCAAGATTTTATCTAAAGGCAAGAAACCTGGCATCAAGTTTTTTGCACCAAAATCCAAAAAGATTTTTAACAATAGTCCTAAAAAGGTAAGTGGAATGGCTGTTGTATGATAATAATAATTTATTCATTTGTGTAAATTCCATTAAAATATGTTCAAATGTGCATTACTGTACAATACAATAGACAAGAATACAAGTTTACAATATAAAAGAGAAGCTAAAATTTAGGGGAGCTAAATTCCTGGAAAGCTAAAATTCAGCAGCATATTAAACTTCAATCAAATTGCACAACGGAATTTAAACAATAAAATTCAAGTTTGCAAGAACATCCAAGCAAGTTAAAATTCACATTAATCAGATCTGCAACAAAATATTATTATTTCCATTGATAGAGAATTGCATATTTTAGGGGCAGCATAATCAAAAGCATGTTTGCCTAATGTGACTTTATTGAGACAACTATTCCTAATACTATTGAGCTTGTAGTAATTCATTAAGAATGGAAATGTAGTTTGTTGGTAATGATGAGAACAACACATTAAATTTTCATTTGGAAAGATGCCAAGAAGTGTTTCTTGGTAAGGATAGCTAATATGCTAATGACATTGTTATAAATTATAAATCTAATAATACTAGTGAGGTGATGGTATATGAATTAGCAATTGTCAAATTTAAACATTATTTTGATCACTAAATTTCCTAGCAACACATATTAAGTAACTGCAAATATAACAAATTATTTTGTTAAATGACCTGCTCATTTCTATTTCGTGAATACTTACCTAGGTGGTCTGATATACCGTAACTTACAGTATAATCGAGATTCCTCAAAGAAATTTTAAGGCTTGTTGCGTAAAGTTAATGCTTTACAGTATATATGCCTGGGTTAGACAATTATTATTTGCGGGTAAGTTTCATTAGAAATCTGGCTTACAGTATATCGGTTTATTACAGGTAAGGAACTCACTCAAATTAATAGACCAACAATACCACTTCTGATTTGTGTGGATTAGCTGAATTAGATAATGACTAATTTTTAAAATACATATTTTGTCTTTGATTACAACCAAAATTTACAGTATTTGTTTGTTTAGTCAATTTGTTTGCATACTTCATTACATACAGTAAAGTACCTGTAATCTAAAATAATAAATAATAATAATAAGTAATCTCTTTATTTATACACGGCAAAACCCAAATTCAATATAGAAAAATACAATATCAAAAAAGAAATTGTAAAATGTTGTTTTTCCTTGAGCCCGAGGTTCAATAATAAATAAAAACAAAAAAAAAAGTCAACAACAACAATAATAATATAATAATTTGAAAATTAACAATATTATCATCACTATTAATATTATCAATAATAATAATAATAATAATAATAACAACAATAGTAAATTACAGATAAAAAACATATTTAATTTAAGGAAAAACATTAAAAGACACGAAGAATTCATTTAAACAGCATTAAAAACAATAAGATAAAAAATTTAAAAAGGCAACTCACAGAATTTTAGAAAGATAACACATTTAAAACAAACACGGAAGTAAGCAAACACAACCAACACTTTATATAAGCTTTAAAATTAGGAATCATTCAATTTTCTTTTAAACTCGCGGAGACATTTTCATCGAAAGAGTTCCACAATCAGGGGCGGATCCAGAGATGTCCAAAAGGGGGGGCCAAAATTTGGGCCGATCGAGACAACAGTGACCTAGGGGGTCCGGGGGCATGCCCCCGCGAAATTGTTGTGTTCTAGACGCCCGAAAATAACATTTGAGGCGTTGTGGGCTATCATTTTTTTCTTTTTCTTTCTTTTTTTCTTTTTTTTCCTTTTTTTTACCTCCCAAAAGGGGGGCCGGGGCCGGGCCGGCCCCCC